GTCAGACTGGCTATACTAGACTAACCAGAATGGAGCAATGATGCTACCCTGGCAGAAGCCAGAGTTTTCACCTTCCAAAAATCCCTGAATCCAAACACCATTCTAGGTCCTGTGGAAAACTGAATACACTGTTTTGGTGTCCTCCCGCCAAAGGTTAGAACCCATTTAATACTTCCAACTTCCCCTTTCTTTTCTCCCGCATATTGAGAGCCTCCCTTCCTGCTGTCCTCTGCCCATCCAGAGTCCTCCACTACACGCCCCACAGGAAGCTTAGAAATACGTGATATAAAAATTAATAGAACAAAAAAGAAAGGCAAATCCACAATTAGAGTCAGAGATTTTAATACCACTCTCTTAGTAATCGATAAAACAAGTAGACAGAAAATCAGGGACTGTAAATACATAACATGCTAGTTTATACTCAGAGCTTAAAGTAAAACTTAGAATATACATATTCCAAACCACTAAAGACCATTTTTAGTAAAAATAATACCATCTTACTATCCCCCCAAATAAAAAAATTAACACTTCAAATTTCTCTTCGGATGGTTAGAGAGTGAACTGAGGATCAGCCACGTCACTTAAGGATGAAAGAAGAAAAAAACTAAAATGTGCTCAAAGAAAGCAAGTTGGGGCCCAGACTTAAAGAGAGAAAGAGATATAACTGGGCACAAAGAGAGGAAAAAACACCCTATGAGTGAAGGAGGACAGATACAAAGGAAAACAGACAGTAAAGTTTTCTTGTCTAGGGTAAAGAGTTTTAGGAAAAAATACCCCAGACTTGAAAATAAGCAAACTCTTTTGCTTACTGGGGTCCTTTCAGTGGAATGCAGGATACAATTTAGCAGACCCTCGGGGAATTATCTGATTATGTAGGGGTGTGCATCTTCACTTGACTTTCTCTTGACTACACTATTTTACAACCTTTACAGAGGGAGTGGTTAACCTGTAGACAACTGATAACATAGCAATTGCTCTTCCTGTCACAGAGCAATGCAAATAATTCCTGTCCTTAGCAATACAAACACAAATCTCCTGGTAGAGATTTGATTGTTTTGCATCTGGTAAAAGACAACCCCAAATATTATGTCTCTTGCCTTGTAGGAATCTGCACTGACAAATTTATTTCGGCATTCCTTTGACTATATAAATTTTCTGTTCCTTGATTTTTTTTCTATGAACCAGTCTTAATATTTTTCATGTTCTCTTATTACTTAACCTGTTAAGTAAAATATTTAAAATATTTTCCTTTTATATTTGAATAAGAGTCATGTTTTTAACTTTCAAAAATTATATTCTAACAAGTGTTTGTGTAGGAAAGTAAAAATAAGCCAGGTAAGCGGGGTGGGGGAGGGGGGAAGAGCTGTGGAGAATCTAATAACAGGTAACAAGAGGACAGCAAAGGAATGCCACCATGCAGTTAAAAAATATCTACTCTGGGGGAGGGGGGAGGGACGGGGTGGAACGGGTCATTAGGGAGAAAAAGGGACATCTGTAATATTTTAAACAAAAATAAAATTTAAAAAAAAATTTAAAAAAATTAAAATTTAAAAAATATCTACTCTGTTCTAAGATGATGAAACGGTGACTGAGGTTTTTACTAAGGTAATTACTAAGGCTGTACTTGTGCCTATGTGGGCTATGTAGGTGTTCCCCTTTGAAAAGCAATTTCTGAAGCTGTAAGATTCATCAAGAGGTCGAAACTTGCCAATAAAGGAAGGCTAAAGAAGTGGGGAAACCAGTAGGGAAACCTGGGGGAAAAGATTCCAGGTTGAGAACAATCCATAGTGTAGAACGCTGCAAAACATCAAGTCAGATGAGGTCTGAAAAGTGTCCATTCATTTATTTATTCAATAAATATATATTAGCTACTTAGTTATATGCCAACAACTGTATTAGGCATGGGGATACAGTAATAAACAAAATGAAAAAAGTCCCTGCTGACACTGAGTATACTGGAAGGGACACACACGAAATAGCTAATTTAAGAAATAAAGTGTTTAGAGATTTCAGTGCCAGCCAAGGAGGAGTATAGTCCATGAAAGCCTGTCTCTAGTGCTGCTTATAACTAAATACTCTGGATAAAATGCAAAAAACAATGACCTCAGCATTCTTAAAAGTAAACAAGGGCAGTATTGGGGCAAAAAGTTAAACTTGGAGAAGGGGTCCATATAGGAGTCAATTTCCCCCCTTATATATCTAATAAGCCAGTTCCTCAGGAGTCGGGTCTACCACTATTTCTAAATTCCATTCTAATTTTCACCTTTAGTAACTGATTGCAGTGTAGCTGCAGTTCCAGCCATGGGTGAGTAGATACTGTTTGTGTCCTAGCAAATTTCAACTTATTCTTCAAGATTCATCCTAAATGCCACAAATTTAATGAAGCATTTCTTGCCTGACAAAGTTATATGCTCCCACTTCTTGCTTCCATTGCATCTCACACAACTTTCAATTATAGTATTTATTCCGATATACTATAATTACTTGTTTGGAGACCTGTCTAACCACTATTTCACTGTGGGATGGGGATTATGTCTCTTTAAATGTCTTTCTCTCCAACTTCTAGTATGATTCTCGACATTTAGTAAGTACTCAGTAAACGCTTTTTAAAATTAATCAATTATCACATCCATTTTGAACATTTTAGATGCCAGTGGAAAGAAAATTTACCAGATAAGTCTGTCACTGTCAAATCTTGTCATCAACTCAGTACTTTTTACTTCTTCAAATGTTACTTTCAGTCCACAGCTATCTGAATGCAATGCAGTTCCAAGTGTACTAATAAACTTTCAATATGCACTAATATGCCTCCAATGTGTTATGAATATGTTATAATGAGAATTTAAACATTACATTAAGGTGTATAAATTGTACATATATAATACATATACTAAAATTATCATTGTACTAAAACATACTGATGCCCCATTGTGGCTGTAGCTGGATTAGGTGAGATGGAGTCTCTTGTTTCTGTTTCCTAAATTCTCACACATTTTAAAGTTTAAAATAAAAATATCCATGTAGTAGTTAACATGGTAGAATATATACAAATAAGTCTCCTTGAAAAATTCACTACAGTCCAGAGCTTGGCCCTCAGCCTTTGCTATAGACCAAATGTCTGTGTACCCCCCACACAACTGGTATGTTGAAATCTCAACCCACAATGCGATGGTATTAGGGGGTGGGGCTAGGTGATTAAACAATGAGGGCAGAGCCTCCACGAATGAGATTAGTGTCTTTGTAAAGATATTACAGAGAGCTGCCTCCACCCTTTCACCATGTGTGAAGGCAGAGCAAGACGACCACACTGGTCTGTGAACCGGGAAGCAGGTACTCACCAGACACCAAATCTGCGGGCACCTTGGTCTTGGACTTCCCAGGCTCCTGAACTGTGAGAAATAAATGTGTTCTTGAGAAGACACCCAGTCTACAACACTGACGCCCAAAAGGACTAAGGCTGCCTCACCCACCCAGACACCTAATTTGTTGGAAAGACAAACATTAGCCATGGAGACTTATGAACACAAAAAGGAAAAGAAAGAAAAAAGAAAAAAAAGAAAAGAAGAAAAAAGAAAAGAAAAGAAAGAAAAAAGAAAAGAGAAAGCCATTATCTTAATCCGCAGCAAGCAGCAGATCTAATACTGGTTGAGGGGGAGAATGTGCCTTTCTCACCAAGGGAAATGGGTTTGGTAACAGAACTAATCTGATTTAAGTACAGTCTCAAAGTGGATAATTGAGGTCAAACAGGGGACTCAGGATTACTCTGATATAAGGAGAAAATAAGGTGCAAACAATTTCGTGGTTCAGGGGTCTCAACAACCACACACCAGCAAACTAATTTGGGCATCGTCGCTGTGCGCGGTTTTAAACCGGGGAGCGGCCAACAAAGGCAACGCACCGCCCGTCCCCCCGTATCCGCGTCAGACGCACCCTCCCTAGTGAGGAAAGGCCGGTCACCCAGTGCACACGGCACCGTGCGTGTAACTTCCAGAACTGTGGGAAGAGTATCAAGTTACTTAACTGACGTGAATGTCTGTGAAAGGAAGGTCCGGAGTTGGAGGCTCCGCGTGAAAAGGCCACCGGTGGTCGAGGAGGGCAGGGGAGACCCGTGAAATACATCGCCCATCCTTGACAGTGCCACCTGGCTGGGGACAAGGGGCAGGGTTTCTGTGTCTTTGGCTTAGGTTTTCTTTTTGCTGTAGAGCCGATTTACGTTAATAGAATGACAGGGAAGAGAGTACACGGTTCCCTGTCCCCGTACAAGACAAGGCTTCAGAGTCTCTCTTCCCCTTCCACCCTCACCCACACTCTCCCCGGCTTCTCTGGCTTCCGCTCCCCTCAGGTTTCCGCAGGGCAGAGCTCACACGGCGCAACCTCGAGGCTGTGCCAAGG